ATTTTTAAAGTTACGTAACTAGTAACAGCCGGCATTGCTATATTTGAATCCAAATATGTAAGACTCTAAGAAACACCAGCTCTTAGTCACTTCCGTATTTATGTTCATAGTATTCTGTATGTTTCTCATATATTATAGCATGCTACCATTTTTACATTCATATTACCCGTTTTTTCCATTTTAATTGTTTATATATAGTAACAATTAGGGAATTTTCTTTGGTTATACCTTAATTCTTTCATGTAGTGTTTGAGTTATTTGCCAGTAAGTAGTTCTTTTCAGGTATTATGAATACACTGAAAATACAAAGGTGGAAAAATTTTAGAGCCTCAAAAGAATGAAATTAACTACAGTTGACTATTTTGCCATGTATCTTGTTTTCCAATTTTCACATTTTAAATTACTTGAGGCTTTGGTACCTTTTTCTTTATGTCAACTAAGAAACACTTTATTTTTTATACCAATCAACAGTTTAAGGTGGGGATGAATGTTATAGGGCTTATAGGAAATTATAAAACATACAGACTAGTCGAAACAACGAGCTAGAAAGGATTGGGAATCCTCTAATTTTGTGCTGTCACCTCTAGATGGGGAAGTCAGAATAGTGAAGAACTAGTTAGATTTAGGACTTCTGACTCTTAGTGTGGTTTGAAATGGGAGTTGAAAGGGCAGATTTGCAATGTTTCATATCTATGGTGCACAGAAGTTTCCCCTACACATATAGTAAACTCATATATGTCCCTCTAAATAGCTGCCTCATAACTGTTTTTCTTTGTCATTCAAAGTATATATTTAAAAATAGAAATGAAAAAAGTATTTCAGGGAATTCTAAGTTTTATTTTTTAAAATTTATTCAATTTATTTAAAACAAACAAACCAGTTCATCCATTTCTTCCCTCCCACCCCCAATCTGATATAAGAGAGTCATATGCTGTTGGCTTTCCTCTGACTTATTTCACTTGGCATAATGCCCTTGAGGTCCATCCATGTTGTTGCAAATGGCAAGAGTTCATCCTTTTTAGTGGCTGAATAATATTCCATTGTGTATGTGTATAATATATGTATATATAACTTTTTTATCTATGTATCCATTGATGGACACTTAGGTTGTTTCCATAACTTGGCTATTATAAATAATGCTGCTGTGAACATGGGGGTGCCTATATCTTTTCGAGTTAGTGTTTTGTTTTATTTGGATAAATACCTGGAAGCGGACTTGCTGGATCATATGGTAGTTCTATTTTTAATTTTTTGGGGAACCTCCATACTACTTTCCATAGTGGTTATATCAATTTACATTCCCACCAGTAGTGTACAGGGGTTTCTTTTTCTCCACATCCTTGCCAACAGTAATTATTTCTTATTTTTTTGATAATAGCCATTCTAAAGGAGAAAGGTGATATATCGTTGTGGTTATGATTTGCATTTCCCTGATGATTAGTGATGTTGAACATTTTTTATGTACCTGTTGGGCATCTGTATGTCTTCTTTGGAAAATCTATGTAGATCTTTGGCCCATTTTTTTAATCAGATGGTTTATTTTTTTGCTCTTGAATTGTATGAATTCTTTGGATATTTTATATAGGTTAGCCCTTTATTAGATGTATGATTTGCAAAAATTTTTCTCCCATTCTGTAGGTTGCTTTTTCATTTTGTTGATGGTTTCCTTTGCTGTCCAGAAGCTTTTTAATTTGATGTGGTACTACTTGTTTATTTTTGCTTTTGTTGCTTTTGCTATTATTGTCAGATTAAAAAAATCATCTCCAAGACCTATATCAGGGGCTTACTGTCTGTGTTTTCTTCTAGGAGTTTTATGGTTTCAGGTCTTACATTTAAGTCTTTAAACCATTTGAGTTAATTTTGGGGTATGGTTTAAGATAAGGGTCCAGTTTCATGCTTTTGCATGTGGCTGTCCAATTTTCCCAACACCATTTATTGAAGAGATTGTCCCCTTGCCATTGTATATTCTTGGTTCCTTTGTTATAAATCATATATGCATGGGTTTATTTCTGGGCTCTATTCTGTTCCATTGATCTAGGTGTTTCTTTGTATGCCTGTATCATACTGTTTTATTTACTACAGTTTTGTAATGTAGTTTGAAATCAGGGGGTGTGATGCTTTCCACCTTTGTTCTACTTTCTCAAGATTGCTTTGGCTCCTTGGGGTCTTTTGTGGTTTTAGGATTGTTTGTTCTATGCAGTATTTATGATCAGTACCTTGGAGAAGAGAATTTACATAGAATTTCTATTACAAAAGCTTTAAAATCTAACCATTATGAAATGGATTGACTAGTTATTTAAAATCCAGAGGACTAAAATAAAATAGAATAAAATCCAGAGTACAAAAATATTGCAAGAAAAATAATTAGGAGATGATAAATAAAAAGATGATGGAGAAATATTCCATCTAGACCACTCTAGAATTTCTAATATATAGGTGGTTAGTTCTCTAACAGGAGGTAAAAAACCTGAAGAATAGTAGTTTATCAAATAGTTGACAAATTGTATTTCATTTCTCCAGATCTGAACAGGGCAAAGCAGACAGGGTAGCATAATGGAAGAAAGGAAGTTAGAGGCTCTTATATGGTGGCTGAGTTTTCTATATTTTCCGACAGACTCTCTAATCAATATATTAGCATTTATTTATATCTTTTAGATACTTATTTTTGAATAGGTATTCATGCTCATGGTGAAGCATTCAAAAGTGGTTTGTAGTAAAATATAAGTAAGTTTGCCTTCCATTTCTGTCTCCAACTATTGATGCTCTTCTCCAGAGGAACCACTCTTAACCATTTTCTTGTGTATTCTTTTAGACATCTTTCATGCATATTCAAGCGCAAACGTGTAAATACAAACGCAATTTTTCCATAAATGGTATTATATATACATCTCATTTTAAAGGACATTGTACAATGTATCTTGGAGATTATTTCATATCAGAAAATGTATAGCTGCTTCATTCTTTTTGATACATGAATAATATTCTGTTGCATGGACATAATTACTTCTAAATATTTAGTTTTTTTTGCACACTTTACTATTTAAAACAATGACTCATTGGATATTCTTGTACGTATGCCGTTTCACACATGGATATGGTTTTCCAAGATAAATCCCTAGAAGTAAAATTGCTTGGGTCAGAAAAAAAGGTGTATTTTACATTTTCATAACTATACTAAATTGCTTTCCAAAGAGATTGTATGAGTTTATATGCTTACCAGCAGTGGAGTAGAGTACGTATTTTCTTACAGTCTTGTCAATACATAGTAATGTCAACCTTTTTGATCTTTGCTATTTTGATAGATAAAAAAATGGTATCATTATAGTTTTTTAAAATTTTTATTTTAATTCCAGTTAGTTAACACACAGTGTTATATTAGTTTCACGTGTACAGTGTAGTGATTCAACAATTCCATGAATCACCCTTTGCTCATCACAGACAAGTGCACTCCGTAATCCCCATCACTTATTTAACCCATCCCCTCTGCCAACCTCCCCTCTGTTTGTTCTCTATAATTAGGAGTCTGTTTCTTGATTTGTCTCTCTGTTTATTCCCGTTGTTCATTTGTTTTTTTCTTAAATTCCACATATGAGTGAAATCATATGGTATTTGTCTTTCTGTGACTGGCTTCAGCATTATAGTCTCTAGCTCCATTCATGTTGTTGCATGGTATCTCATTATAATTTTAATTTATATTTCTTTTGAGTGAGGTGCGTCTCTTTTTATTTTTTAAAAATCTGTTTAAATTTCCTTTTTTTTGAGAAATGTCAAATTCTTTGAGTTTTATTCTGTTGATCTCTTATTTGTAGAGACTATGTTAAGGAAGCTTTTTCTCCTTTTTTGTCTTAAAAATTTTTTAATGTGGATTTTAAACTGATTAAATTTATTAATATTTTATAACTCTTGAATTTCGGATCATACTTAGAAAGGCCTTTTGTACTTTGAAATTATAAAAAAGAGTCTCCCATGCTCTCTTCTAGTGCTTTTATGGTATTATTTTTATGTTTGTCATTGACCCATCTGGAATTTATATTGGTGTAAGGTATAAAGTAAGTAAAGTTATTTATTTTTTTTTCAGGTTGATACCTAGTTGTTTTGATACCTGATATCTAATTATCATCTCCTCCTATGATCCTATGGTGAAGGACTTTCCAGGCACAGAGAACATTATCACAGTGCCTGGCTCTTAGTAAAAACTGAATGATGAGAGGGTTGGTTATTGTGGTGGTGGTGGGTGGTGGTGGTGGTGAAATAATTTTAGGGGGTAAAGGTTTGAGATGGGATTGCTATAAAGATGGTAGATTTAAGTGTGCTTATATCTTGTGGGGACATATCTTAGTAGAGTGTAAAAATACAAGAGAGAAGGAATGAAGCTTTTGGAAAGAAAGAGGTGGACTCCAGAGTACAGATACAGAGGTTAACCTTAAGCAGAATGGAAAAAAGGAGGTGAAGATGATTAGTATAGTTCTAGAATACTGTGGATGTGAAGGTGAAAAGTTGACATACTTTTATTTATTTATTTTTTTGAAATAGGAATTAGGGGAACTTTATTTTTAGGGGCACTTAAATATAGAGGTAGTAGTAAAGTACTGGAGGAGAACAAGAGGTAGATTTTGTATTTTTTACTTTCTCTTTCTTTCCCTTTTTTTTATAGGTCACCCTTGCAATTATGGATATTTAAAAGGATCAGACAGTGTGGAGGGGGAGTTCCCCTCCTCACTCCCCCTTGGTGCTTGACTCCAGGAATAATTTATAAACTGTGGAAAGTTTTTTTTTTTAATAGAGAACTTGCATTTGATATAAACTTTATAGAGCTATTTGTAATTTTTTGATTTAAGTGCCAAAATAAATTGTAAAAGATATATAGTTTTATACTATTGCCATTGAGGATTTAAATTATAATCCTAAACAGGTTATTTATTCTCTATAAATCTTTCTGAATAACACCTTTTGTCCTGGCTTTTTCATTTTTAAAAATTAGTCTTAACTGACTACTCCAAAGAACTAAACTAAGCAGTATAAAAACAATTAGGATGAATTCTTCCATCCCTGACTGCACATCAAAGTGTCGATCCCTGAAGCATGCTTTGGATGTCCTTTCTGTGGTAACAAAGGGGAATGAAAACCAGATTAAGGCCTTTCTCTCCAGTTATTGTTACAATGCTGCAACTATCAAAGATGCTTTTGGCAGAAATGCCCTCCACCTTGTTTCCTCCTGTGGAAAGAAAGGAGTGCTAGACTGGCTTATTGAGAAAGGAGTGGATCTACTGGTGAAAGACAAGGAATCAGGATGGACAGCTCTGCACAGAAGCATTTTTTATGGACATATTGATTGTGTTTGGTCTCTATTGAAGGTAAGTGTCATTTGTTTATTTAAAAGTATTTGGTCTGGTATATGCTTTTCTTAGTCTTTTTCAGACACCCCATTTATTTTCCAAAGATTTGAGTTTGTTCTTATTAGTTGTTTGATATCTTTTACTATTGTAACTGACTCATCTTTAGAATTCAAATCCATATATATTTTTATTTAGACTTGTTATGATGTAGAATTTTAAACATATACCAAAGTTTACAATACATAATGGACTGTTGGCTAATTACGTGTTATATATATCCCCAATGCCTTTGTTTATCTCACACTATTTTGAAGTAAATCCTACACATTTTATCATTTAATCCGTATAACCTTTTAGTATTCTTAAGAAAAATGGTTTACTTTTCTTTAACTTTTATTAGCTACTTTAAAAGGGCACTAGTTATTGAAATACAACATTTAAGGACTGTTTTTTGGATAGTATGCTTATTTCTTGTTTGGCTAGGATAAAGTGTTTATAGTTATAAAAATAGTAATTAGAATCAGTTAAATTTATTTGAAATTTCCCATCAAGTAGATTCAATCTAGGTTTGTTGTACTGTATAGTCAAATAATGAAGGGTTTTGAAATATACCCCAATGTCATTTCACTAATGAATGCACATTAAAAACTCAGAAGTCATGAATTTTAAATTGAATTTTTTTTTTTTTTTTTGTATAGCCATTTTATCGTGTTTGTAGAGGACACAGAGAAGAACAAAACACTTCCTGTCTTCAAGGAACTTATGGTCACATTAGGGGGCTTATCTTCAGTGTCTTCATCTATTTTTGAGTTTAAAAAAGTTTACTAATAGTACTGTTAATTCCTCTTACATCTAAAACATTTGATTTAGATGGTTTAATTCTTTACTGTAATCTATTTTATACAGAAAGCTAGGTTGGTAAAAGTTAAAGCATCTTATCAGCTCTACTCTTACCCTTTCCCACATCTAAAGCCTCAGCTTTTTTCCAGTTTCTGCTAGAAATTTGGATGACTGCCAGTCCTGTAAAGCTGGAGAGCATCCTTGGATTTTCTTTTGTCATAGGAGTTGACATTCAGGTGTCAGGATTTGGGGCTTCAGTTTGAAATAGGATCTGGTCTGAATTTTGAACCTTCCCTCCCTTTGGGGTGTCATTTCCCTTAAGAAATCCTCATTCTTTCCTCCTTGGATAAGAGAAGCCAGGAAATTTGTGCCTTTGGCCACCTTGCGCTTGGCTTGACTGTCTTTTGTTATCATCAGAGCCCTATTGATCAATGATAGATATCTAACAGTGGATGCATTGCACTGATAAAATTTTCCCACAGAAACCTTTTCCTATCCATTTAGTATTCATGTCTCAACATGGTATATCCTTTTTTCTTTTGACCTTTCAACATCATTTTATTGGAAGAGCTGCAGTGATTGGAGTGTGCATGTCAGTTCCACTTCTGGACAACTGTAGCATATAAGGTGTTATGACAACTATAGCCCTTAAGGTATTATGGTTGGCAGAGAGAGACCATACACAAATACACATTTTATTTTATTTTATTTTAATTTTATTTTTTTAAGATTTTATTTATTTATTTGACAGAGATACAGTGAGAGAGGGAACACAAGCAGGGGGAGTGGGAGAGGGAGAAGTAGGCTTCCCACGGGCAGGGAGTCCGATGCGGGGCTCGATCCCAGGGGCCTGGGATCATGACCCAAGCCGAAGGCAGATGCTTAATGACTGAGCCACCCAGGCGCCCCACAAATACACATTTTAAATAAATTGCATTTGATAACTTTATAGCTATAAGACTTTTTAATTGCCAAAACAAATTGTACAATAAATATACACCCGCACTGTCAGTTCCTGATTGCCAAAGATAAAAAAACAAAAACAAAAAAACAAAACCTCAGCAGAAACTACTTGTCTACCAAAAGTGGGAGGAGAGACAGCCTATCTTATGCATATCTTCTTTGGCTCCTTGGTTCCATGACAAGATGAGTGGCTGGCAAAGACTGTTTGTGCTTATAGGGTCCTGTTGTTTTTGTTATTGCTATACCATTGTTTTTTCATACTGGTGGTTTACTTACTATTCTGGTAAAACTTGCTTTAATTCTTCATTTGTAAATAGAACTAACTTAATCATAAGATTGTATGGATTAAATGCTATACTATTTGTAAAGTATTTGGAACAAATTTTTTTTTTTTTTTTTTTGAGTGCCTGTTGTGTGCCAAGCACTGATCTAGGTCCTAGGGATATGTAATGAACACGACAGACAGAATCCTTTTTTTTGTTTGAGTTTTTATTTTAGTAGAAGGAGATAGACTGAAACCAAATAATTAAATAAACAAATAGGAGAATAAATGTTGGTGTGTTAGAGTTCTTATTTCATAGAAACAGAAGCTAACTAAGGTTCCCTAAGCAAAAGCTATTTTATTAGAGGGATATCAGATACTTCACAGAATAGAACGAGTCATGAATAAGAGTAATACGGTTAATTGTCAAATCATAAACAAGATAAATCTCCTCAAACTAAAATAGAAGAGTTATAAACTAAGTAGAACTGATGTGAAGTATCTCCCACCTCCCTGCCCCAGGATAATTAGATAGCTGGACCAGTTTATTAAAACTCTTCCTAGTTTATGATGTTAAAACCATGTCATTTGAATATAAGAAAATGCTTATTTTTTTGTTTTCTCTAGTTATGAGGGCATCTAGCTGGTGTATCCAACAGTATTATCAAAGCTTTGAAGAATAGGCTTGAAAGAAGGAGAGTAGAATACATCCCATCTTACCCCACTGGAAATTATAGTCTCAAGATAGTCTTTTTATTTTTTTAATTTTTTTTATTATGTTAATCACCATACATTACATCATTAGTTTTTGATGTAGTGTTCCATGATTCATTGTTTGCGTATAACACCCAGTGCTCCATTCAGTACGTGCCCTCTTTAATACCCATCACCAGGCTAACCCATCCCACCGCCCTCTCCCCTCTAGAACCCTCAGTTTGACGAACCACGAGAGACTATGGACTCTGAGAATCAAGATAGTCTTTTGATTCGACTTTTTTGGCAGTATATGGGCCGCAATAGTGAGAGAGTCATATTAAACTCACTCAATTTAGCTCATAACCAGTTTGGAAAAATTAGTGTATCAGATACTTCTCTTGAACCACTTCATGTAATTTTGGCCTCATCCTTTATTCTAGCTAGTCGTGTACAGGCTTCTAGCAGCTTTGTATAGGTATAAATCTGCAGTTTGTTTCTAGCATCTACTGCTTACCTCTTATTTTATGTCCCAAAGCTTGGCATTCATGCATGACCAACCAAAAGTACAGGAGAGTTAAATCTCTTTTAGAGCAACTCTTTGCTAATGAAGAATGGGAACTGGACCTAAAACTTTACCCCCTTTATTCCTCGACTGGAGAATTACTCTGTGATATATTGTATAAGGTTCCCAGAATTTCCTGGCAGGATCGTGCACAAGCCTTAGCAGTGGCCTGCTTGATAACACATCCTTGTATTGGTTTTTCCTCCTTTTATTTACTCTTCTGATCCTCACTTTCTAGGATCTCTTCCCAAGGAAATTACCTGCATACCAGTCTTTATCTTACGCTTTGCTTTGGAGGAAGATAGTCAAAGCAAACAAAAACAGTTCTCTGTATTTGCAGACAGACCTGTCCAGTAGTGTTACTAGTGGTTTGTAGTGGAATGGCTGTGTCTAAAGTGCATCTGCTCCTTGTGGAGCATTCTCATGAAATGCTCAGGCTTATAAGGCTGGTATATACTTAGATGCTATTTAACAAAGTAATGAATTTACTATTTTGGGGATATGTAAAGAGTTGATCTTTAAATAGGATAGACTACACACTGGTCCTGCAACCTTTAGAGTTTAAGATGAGTATATTAGAAAATGTCAGAGTCTACCATATCTAGGGAGCTCTAATGGCCAAACAAATGTAGTCTTATGCAGTTCGGGCTACTTAGGATGATGCAAATGTATGTGGTCTTAATAGGGTCCAGTTGGTAAAGTTTAGGAAAATTTATAATTTATAAAAAATAAAAAAAATATAAAAAAATTTATAAAACTGGCAAAATAAACTCTCTAGGGATCTAGGTTTTTGGGATCCCATTTGTCACCTTCATAGCTTGGAGCGCTTTGTCCTGGAATCTACATTCATTTCTCTTAAAAGGTTAAACTCCTGGCTTCTCACATGGATTTATTATATCTAATTTTTTTAACGTAGTAGGTAACATATGATTTTAAATTTATCAAATCTTAGATCACTTTTTTTTTTTTTTTTTTTTACTGGTTAGCTCATTTGAGTATTTTTTGCTCATTGACAATTCTTGTGATATCAAGTATTATAACCATCTGGAACATAATGAACTTAGAATTGGTTTTAGATTGTTAGGAATCCATTGTTACAAGGTAAGAGGAGATTCTTCTTTCCTAAGTAACCTAAAACAGAGGATTCCAACATGTCATAGAGTTTAATAACTTCATAGTTCTCTGCCTGTAACTACCCAAGTGAACTATGTACAGACAGGCAGTGATGACTTGCACAGGTTAAAATAGAGGTAAATCTAATTATTGAATGTCTTATTAAACTATCAGCAAATACCAGAAGTTATTCTTTTTTTTAAATGTAATTTTATTGTTATGTTAATCACCATACATTACATCATTAGTTTTTGATGTAGTGTTCCATGATTCATTGTTTGCGTATAACACCCAGTGCTCCATGCAGAACATGCCCTCCTTAATACCCATCACCAGGCTAACCCATCCCCCCATGCCCCTCCCCTCTAGAACCCTCAGTTTGTTTCTTAGAGTCCATAGTCTCTCATGGTTCGTCTCCCCATTCTATTTCCCCCCTTCATTTTTCCCTTCCTCCTTTTTTTTTTTTTTTTAACATATAATGTATTATTTGTTTCAGAGATACAGGTCTGTGATTCATCAGTCTTACACAATTCACAGTGCTCACTATAGCACGTACCCTCCCCACTGTCTGTCATCCAGCCACCCCATCCCTCCCACCCCCCACCACTTCAGCATCCCTCTGTTTCCTGAGATTAAGAATTCCTCATATTAGTGAGATCATATGATACATGTCTTTCTCTGATTGACTTATTTCATTTAGCATAATACCCTCTAGTTCCATTCACTCGTTGCAAATAGCAAGATTTCGCTTTTTTTGATGGCTGCATAATATTCCATCATATATATATATATATATATATATATATATACCAACATCTTCTTTATCCATTCATCTGTCGATGGACATCTTGCCTCTTTCCATAGTTTGGCTATTGTGGACACTGCTGCTATAAACATTGGGGTGCATGTACCCCTTGGGATCGCTACATTTGTATCTTTGGGGTAAATACCCAGTAGTGCAATTGTTGGGTCATAGGGTAGTTGTATTTTCAACTTTTTGAGGAACCTCCATGCTGTTTTCCAGAGTGGCTGCACCAGCTTGCATTCCCACCAACAGTGTAGGAGGGTTCCCCTTTCTCCGCATCCCTGCCAACATCTGTCTTTTCATGACTTGTTAATTTTAGCCATTCTGACTGGTGTGAGGTACCAAAAGTTACTCTTGAAAAGAAGAACATTTTATATTTAAAAACTGTAGTTAAGTAATAACAATATGAATTGAGCATTGCTCTCTGTCCCTCCTGCCCCCCTTCCATTATATTTTAAAAGATAGAAAAGTATGGTGATAGGGATAGGGTGTGCTAACTGCCTTAAATAAGTGGGACAGAAAATATTATATTTCATGTTTGATTTTGAACTGTGAAGATAGATTACTTTAAATTCATCCTTAAAACACATACACATTCTCAGGTTTTTTAAGGATACTATTATTTATATATGATTTATAAGAAGCCATAACTAAACAATGCTATAAAAATTTTAAATACAAAGATGAAAACTTATATCACACAAATAGAAATAAAGGACTATAATTGTCTTTAATGTAAATACTGGATATAACAAAGTTCAAGGCAAGAAGAGATGGGGCCTACGTGATCACATTATATTTATAAACACTAAATTCTAATATAAGTACTGTTGTGCCATTACCTTGAAGTCTTTATAGCCCTTAACTGAACTAGACATGGAGCATGGCTTTTTAAATATGTAAAGTGTAGTGCATGCACAGGCACAGACAGACCCAGAGCTAGGGCCTTCTAGGCAGTCAGACTTGCCTTACCATAGAAAATTTTCACATCTAGTTCATTTTGATTTTAAATGTTACTTATTTTATTTCCTCAGGTTTTCTGGTTCTTATTTTAAGAATTAGATATTTGATTTCTCTTAATTACTTCTGTGTGTGGAAAAAAATGTGGGTGGGCATAGGAGGTAACTTAAATATTTTTTTCGTCTTTTTTTTTTTTTTTTTTTTTTTTTTTTTTATGGTGTTATTCTGTATATTCAAGACAAAGAAGGCTTGTCAGCTTTGGATCTTGTAATGAAAGATAGACCAACTCATGTAGTATTCAAAACTACTGGTAAGAAAATTCCATAAATATATTCCATTAAGGTACAGCTTAGAAAATTTTAATGAAACTTTGTTCTTATTAAAATACCTGAGAAAATTAATTTGTATGTGGATATCTGCAAAGAACTTTTACCTTGGTGTATGTTACCTGATAATTTTGAGTTTTTATTCAGAACACTGGTTTATTTTGCATTTTCAATTTCAATCTATACTAGGTAAGAGTAAAAACACACCCTAAGTGGTAAGACAGAATTGTAACTACTGTAAAGTAATTAATGTGCATCCAGAAATTAACATCAGTACTTGAGGTAGAGGGGAAAAGGAAGTGATTTTTCTACCCTCACATCCTTCTGATTTTACTTATTTCTCTTAATTTGTTTGCCTTTGAACTTGGAAAATGGAAATTGGTGGAAAAGGAGGAGTTTTAAATGGGGCCACTCTATAATTTGCATTTAAGTAGTGAGCAAGCTAAGTAAGGACACATTTTTCATTTTTATTTCTACTTTGGATACTTTATTGCAAGTTATAGTTATAAAATTCCATTCAGGGAATTTATATGCCTTCCAAAATAAAAATGAAGACTTAGATCATAAACTTAGCTATGATTAAGTTTTATCCCACTTTAAAATAGTTATTACCCTGATCACGAGTGTGATTTTTGCATCTATCAAGAGCAAAGTATTGAAGTTAATGTTTCTGTAGGAACAGTAACTAATATCACATTTGTTTCATCTAGAACCCTTATATGTATGTATATAATATAATAATATTACTATATATATTATATCTATTAGTAACATTCTGTATTTAAATAACTATAATTACTGTTTTCATGGAAACTAAGTGGATACGGCAGGCGGTATTTTACTCATTTGGCAGTTAAACTAGCTGCTAACGAAACAAGAAACAAGTATTAGATTCTTAACATTGAGATAGCCCTGTGCTGATTTGGATTTTCTGGTTTCTGTTCCTAGAATTAGATAATATGTTAATAGTTCCGTAATGTAAAAGATAATGTTGATAGCATCTTTCTAAATATGCTGGTTAAATTAGTTCCTGTAAAGAGTCTGTGTTTGAGGTAAACTGATTAGTAGAGTATATATATAATTGAATTCAACTGATATTTGTTTTAAAATATAGAAGTATAAAAATTAATTTACATTTTAGATCCTACAGATGTCTACACTTGGGGAGATAATACAAATTTCACCCTGGGTCATGGAAGCCAGAATAGCAAACATCATCCAGAGTTGGTGGATCTGTTCTCCCGGAGTGGGGTTTATATCAAGCAGGTATTTTGAAGTACAGTCTGAGTACTTTCAGAGGTTAAAAAGACCTTTTGTGTTTGATAGTTTATCTTTTCATGTGGATTATGTTAACTTTGTTGAAGGGATAATAACACTTAGAAATCAATAGAACTTCATGAATTCTATTTTAGATTTTCTGTTAGCTTTAAGCATATTTACATTGTGTTAAATACCATAAAACTACGAGATGTTTGTGTAAGCAGTGTTAGAAATTAGAAGGCACTATAGAGATACTACTTTTAAAGGTAGAGCTTGTATAGATTTTCTAGCATTTGTTTTCATTTTACAAAAATTAGAGTTCTTCATATTGTTTCTCAAGTGAATTTGTTGTTGAAACTCAGTGTTACTAGTTTTAGGTGAGCGAACCTGAGTTCTTAAATATAAGTAATTATAAAATTCTAGTTGATGTAATTGGAAAGTTTTGGTCTTTGATCTTAGTTCATTATGTTGGATGATGTCTTCCACTTCCATGGATTTTGCTACTGTTGACATACTCATCTTTTTCCATAATGCAGTGTGTGTGTGTGTGTGTGTGTGTGCCCGCGCGCGCTCATCTGAGCTTAACTAGTCCTCAGTCCTTAAAATGCTCTTCTACCCGTTAGCAGCCACTAACGATTGATCACAGTTGGGGCACTTAGAAAAGATTCCGGTTTTCCTTCTCTGAGTTAATCCATGATCTAGTCACCTTTCATGAGCTGAGCTTTTTCAGGAGCAAGGATTTTTCAACAAAAGTGAAGGAATAAATGGTAGCATTAGTAAACCAGAGACTGATTATACCTTCCGGTCCTCAGATATATGTGCTATAGAGGAAATGAGCATTTTCATCCTTGGTTAGGATGAAATAGTACACTTACGGAGAAAGCTACACTTAAGGCAAGGAAGTGAGAATATTTTGTGAAGAGATTAAGTATATAAGGAATTTTATTTACCACAGAATGAGGATTGAAGCAAGCGCTGTGGATAGGTTAGGAAGGAAAACAGTGTAAATTAGAGTCGGAAAAGAGAAGGCAAGTTTTATGGGAATATTTACTGAGCACCAGTTATATAGAGAGCCCTATTAGTCACTGAAATGGGCTCATACTATACTGCCATGCAACAGAAATTATTAATCTCAGCATAATATATTCCAGAGAAGTAAGATGAAAAGGCATAATCACTTATCTCCTTAAAAAATTCAGAGGTTTTAAGGTTGTAACACTTAAACTCTGGTATTGGTTGTTGAATATAAGTCAAATTATAGAATGGCATTCTAATATTGGATATAAAATTGAACAAAATGTATTATTTCTGGCTTCAAAAAATGATTTTTCCTTTACAAATTCTGTTTGTATTAAAAATATGAATACAATTTAGGGTTTTATTTTTAGGTATTTGTGGTATAGTTAAATGAGATAATGACTTTTTATATTACTTATGATAAGTATATGTAGTCACAGAACTTACCAAGTAGTTAAAGGAAATGTGTAAGTAGAGCTTGTAATTCAGCTTCTAATTTTGTTTCCCGTAAGAACTTGTCTTTCTGGAAAATAATTCTAAGATTTCTTTATTTTGTAATCATTTTTTATATCCAAAGTTAGAAATATTTATAGATGACATAAGAAATGTAAATGTACATTTTTTTAAAAGTAAGAAAAAAGGATTTTTAAATAGTATTAAGGTAAAATGAATATACTGAATATTAGATGCTTTGAAAAATAGCAACGTGGTGTAGAGGTTAAGTATGTACGTACATGCAAACAGGCATACTTCAATTTATTGCACTTCCCTTTATTGGACTTCATAGACACTGTATTTTTTACAGATTGAAGGTTTATGTCAGTCCTGCATTGAGTAGGTCTTTCATTGCCATTTTTCCAATAGGATTTCCTTACTTCGTAAGTCTGTAATTCTCTCAATATTTCAAACTTTTTCATTAGTATTGTATAGTTGACCTTGAAGAAAATGGGGTTTGGGGCACTTGACCCCTCCATGCAGTCAGAAATCCTTGCATAACTTCTGACTCTCCAAAAAATTAACTACTGTTGACTGGAAGTCTTACTGAGAACATAGTCAATTAGCACATACTTATGTGCATTATACACTGTATTCTTAGAATAAGGTAAGCCAGAGAAAAGAAAATGTTATTAAGAAAGTCATAGAGAAAAGAGAATACATTTAAAGTACTATACTGTATTTACTGGAAAAAATCTCGTATAAGTGGATGCGCACTGAAGTTCAAACACATGTTGTTCAGGAGTTAACGGTATTTCTTCTGGTGATCTGTGATCAGTGATCTTTGATATTACTATTGTAATTGTTTTTGGGTACCACATACTACATCCATATAAGATGGTGAACTTAATTGATAAATGTGTGTGTTCTCACTGCTCCATTGGCAATTGTTCCCCTATCTCTCTACCTCTTCTTGGGCCTCCTTAATTCCCTGAGACACAAATTATTGAAATTAGGCCTGTTAAGAACTCTGAAATGGCCTCTAAGTATTTAAGTGAAAGGAAGAGTTAATGCCTTCTCATTTTAAATCAAAAGCTAAAAATGATTAAGCTTAGTGAGAAAGGCAGAGATAGGCCAAACACTAGGCCTTTGAACCAAAGAGTTAGCTAGGTTGTGAATTCAAAGGAAAAGTTCTTGAAGGAAATGAAAGTGCTACTCCAGTGAACACACAAATGGTAAGAAGGTGAAACAGCCTTATCACTGGTATAGTCTTAGTGGTCTGGATAGAAGATCAAACCGGCCATAACATTCCCTTCAGCCAAAACATAATCCAGAACAAGGCCCTAACTCTCTTCAGTTCCATGAAGGCTGAGAGAGGTGAGGAAGTTGCAGAAGAAAAGTTTGACGCTAGCAGAGGTTGGTTGGCTCATGAAGTTTAAGGGAAGAAGCTGTCTCTGGAACATCAACGTGAACGTGAAGCAACAGGTGCTGATGGAGAAGCTGCAGCAAGTTATCCCAAAGATCTAGCTAAGATCATTATGCAGGCGGCTACACTCAACAAGATTTTCAATGTAGACAAACAGCTTTCTATTGGGAGAAGTCAGTGAGTGGCTTCAAAGCTTCAGGGGGCAGGCTGACTGTCTTGTTAGGGCTTAATGCAGTTGGTAACTTGAAGCTGAAGCCAGTGTTCATTCACTTAACCATACTAAAAATCCTAGGGTTCTTAAGAATAATGCTAAATCTCCTCTGCCTGTGCTCTAAAACTGGAACAGAGCCTGGATGACAGCACATCTGTTTACTGCATGGTTTACTGAATATATGTTTTAAGCCCACTGTTGAGACCTAGTGCTCAGAAAAATAGATTCTTTCAACAAGTTACTGCTCATTGATAATGCACCTGGTCACCCAAGAGCTTTGGTGGACGTGTACAGTGAGATTCATGTTGTTTTCATGCCTGCTAACACAACGTTTATTTTGTGGGCCATGGATCAAGGAGTCATTTTGACTTTCAAGTCTTATTATTTAAGAGACACATTTCATATGACTATAGTTGCCATAGGTAGTGATTCCTCTTATGGATCTGGGCAAAATAAATTGAAAATCTTCTGGAAGGGATTCACCATTCCAGATGCCATGAACATTCATGGTTCATGGAAAGAGGTCAAAATAGCAACATTAACAGGAGTTTAGAAGAAGTCGATTCCAAGGAGCAAGATGGCGGAGGAGTAGGAGACTTAAATTTCATCTGGTCCCAGGCATTCAGCTAGATAGGGATCAAACCATTCTAAACACCTATGAACTAAACAGGAGATCGAAGAAATGAATAGCGGCAACTCTCTGAACAGAAAAGCGACCACTTTCTGGAAGCAGGGACCCAACAAGTGGCAGATCAGGGGAGACTCCCCTTCCTGCCCTGGGAGGAGTGGCGCGGGAGTGCACTACAGGAATCTGCTGGGTTTGGAGACTCCACACAGGGTCGTGTGCCAGAGATAGAAATGCTCGGTCACAGGCCGGGTCAGCACAGAGTGCGGCCGGAGACTGGGGAGACGTGAGTGATTGAGTGCTTTTCTCTGGGGGCACACTGAGGAGTGGGGCCTCGAGTTCTCGGCTCCGCTGGGGCAGAGATTGGGAAGCCGCCATTTTCACTCTTGTCCTCCAAAGCTGTATGGAAAGTTTCCAGGGAACAAAAGTTTCCGAGAGCAAACCCGAGCAGATTACTTAGCCTGGCCCTGGCAAGGGCGGGGCAATTATGCCTTCAACAAAGACATCTGATAACCAGTGCAACAGGCCCCTCCCCCAGAAGATCAAGAGGAATAGCCAGCCAAGACCAAGTTTACCAATCAATGAGAACTGCAGAACTCCAGCACTAGGGGAATACTGCACATAGAATTCATGGCTTTTTCCCATGGCCTTTAGTCCTTCAAAGTTAATTTTAAAAATTTTTTTTTTTAATTTTTCTTTTTCCCTTTTTCAACCAACATCTTATCAATGCCTTTTTTTAAAAATGTTTTTTATTTTCCATTTTTAGAGTCATATTCTATCCCATCATAGTAGTTAACCTTGTTTTTGGTGTGTGTGTATATATATGTATATATTCTCTCTTTAAAATTTTGGGATACAGTTTCTTCTAACAGACCAAAATATACCCTAAATCTCTAGTGTGTGGCTTTGTTCTAGTCTCCTGCCTGATCACATTCTCTCCCTTTTTCTTTCCTTAAATCCTCTTCTTTCTTTTCTCAACCAAATTCTTACCCCTTTTATAAAATCTTTTATAATTTTCATCTTTAGAGTCATATTCCATCCCTTCATCATATTAACCCTTATTTTTGTACATATATAAGTTTTTCTTTCTTGAAAATTTTGGGAGGCACTTTCTTCTAACAGACCAAAATATGCCCAAAATCTAGTGTGTGGCACTGATCTATGCACCAGCCTGATCATATTTGATCATATTCTGTTTTTTTGTTTGTTTGTTTATCTTTTTCTTTTTCTTTCTTTTTTTCTTTTTTCTTTCTTTCCCTTTCGCCCCGGTTTCAGGTCTCTTCTGATTTGTT